TTTTTTTTTTTTTTTTTTGAAAGTCTTGCATTTCGCATTTACTGATTGTTAGGTAAAGTTTCATATTTGGTGGACTGGTAGTGAGTGATTCATTTTGGGTTTTATTTTTCTTGTTATATTTAGCTGTTGGTACATTGCAGAGGAGTATGTTTTCTCAAAATTCTAATGATATTGGCTTTATCTTATGATGTCTGGACTGGAGTCATCAGAAGGTGATCAGCTGAACTGTACCGTTTGACTCTGGCAAAATCCATTGGGATGGCGGATAGTGAATATGTAAGGTCCCGTTTCGGAGTTTGTGAAGAGATCTCCAAGAAGCAGTGCTGTGCTGGGAGAGGGCACATCACATGGTGTACTTTCCCAGAAAACCTGAAACAGTTGAAGAAAGAGCAACATTTGTGATACCCCCAAATAGGCACTTCTCATTCAATGAAGTCTACACCAACTCACAGCTCTACGGAGGTGAATAAATCTGTGATTTGCGCACCTGATTCCGCACCTGATCCACGAACTGCTTGGTTTCTCCTGATAATGCCGCACAAGCAGAAAACTCTGATCATGTCCATGTGAACAGTTCAAATACTTCCCCTGAAGATATATGGCAAAAATGAATGTTGTTGCACCCTGGGAAGAAAGATATCGCTCCTTCCTGAGTTTGTTGAAAACTTTGGATCAGTCGGACAGAGGTGAATATGTTCAGAGTATATATATGTCCTTTCATTTTAATATTCTTATCTAGTTCTTTCTATAATTTCTAATGAGTTTTTTGTTCTTAATGTTCAGTGCTTCGGTCGCTGTCCTCTGTTGAGCTCAGCAGGCTAACTGTTGAACTTGAGAAACAATCAATGAAGCTTTCAATGGAGTAAGGTATCTTCTTTAGAATTATATGGAGGTTTTTATGTTAATTTTGTGGTGTGAGATGGTTCTGTTATTCTGCCATCTGCACTTGATTGCTTCCGTTTTTCTTTTTTTGGTTCAAATGTGGGATCTTAAAGATTGCTTAGGGAACAGTATATGCCTAGTAAAACTTTCGACACGGTTCTTCTTTTTGCCTCATGTGCTTATGCATAATTCGCTGAGTTCTTGATACATTGCTCTTCATGAACAGTTTCGTGACGGTTTCCAAATTGTAAGGTCATCTGATCACATGACTGATTTGAGTTTGTTGTCTTTTACCCATTCGCGTCACCTCGGTCAAAATCACGAGGAAGTTCATGATTAAGAAAATTTCATGATGAGGTTCTTATATGAATTTCTGCTTCTGCTTGTTTTTTTCTGCATTTACACATAATATCACCACAAATATTATAAGAGATGAGTTGCCGTCGCAAACAACGGATGCCTTGTTATACTAATTACTAACTAACCAACGTAGTAGTATCTCATTATGGAAACTCAGAGAATCGAGTTTCCATTTCATGGCATAATGACTGGTGACATCTGTAGTCGCGAAAAGTTTGCTTGCGACAACTTCTTGCGTCTAGGGATTTTCGCCACAAAGGCCAGTTTTCATTTGTAAAGGAGGGCTCTTTTGGAAGTAACTGAGGAAAAAGTTTCGAATATTATTACCAACTTGAACAATTCGCTCAGCATGCATAAAGGAGATATGCTTTTGGAACATTATATTCTGTTGTAATTATACCGCTACTTGTTTTGATGAGATTCACTCTTTATTCTGATTCACGTGTGAAAATTGTTAAGATCTCTATAAGCAATTCTGATATGGAGATATAATATGATTTAATTTCCTTTTTTTTGGTGTGGTTAATTTCAGCAAAAGAGATTGAACGAGTAGGACTGTTGGACGTGTTGGGTGAACGTAGGAAGAAGGTTGTCTGTAAAGCTTTTTCTAGTGAGCAAGATGAGCTACACAAGTGAGAAAACAGTACAAAGGCTAACGTATGTTGTCATCAGACAAATACAAATTACAAAGTGACCGATGTGCTTCTAGCTAGCAGCATTTTGTATCTGTTTTTGTAATAATAATAATAATAATAATAATAATAATAATAATAATAATAATAATAATAATAATAATAATAATATGTCAGAGGGAGGGGACTTGGGAGGTCAATTCAAGTTATATAACTTAGCAGTGTAGAGATTTTCAACTAGAACCATTAGATACTGCATGCTTTACAATAGATAGTTAGATAGATAGAAGGAGCTGAGAGAAAAACGAGATAATAAGAACCAAACAATGGTAAACACATTGTATGTCCTCACACTCCAGTACTTAAGTTGGTTTGAACGGTAAACGACACTAAAAGTATTAAACCACAAAATCAGAATCTCCAAAATCTACCAACCAGTGACCACCGTTAGGTCGTCAACAACAAAATCTGACATATCAAATTCCTCTTCTACTTCTCACAACTACACATATATATACCATTATAACAAGCCCTTAATTAAACAGGTTGCAGGCCGCCAAAAAAAAAAA